TTTTAAAAAATTTGAAACATTTCTTTAAAAAATTAAGGGGATCATCCTAAAGGGCACCCAGATGAATAGTGTATTGGGAAAGATAGGGTGTCCCCTTTCTTGGCAAAATAAGTTGTAATGGGGGAACTTGTCCCCCAAATGATGCCTGCATCATGGAATGAAATAAGCCCGTGTGGATTAAGGTGTGACGATGCTGCAAGGAAACAGTCGACCTGGGCACAGCATCTCAGAGAAGTGCGTGTAGGTGTGATGTATCCAGGGACTGCCTCACCCTAGCAGGTGTCAGATGAGGGGTTACAAAGCAGCCCGGAGTGGTGGGCCATGCAGGAAGGGTGTGGGGTAACCCAGCACCCCCTGAAAGATGATGGCAGATCCCCGCCCCCTGATCACACCAAATACCTTCTAGGTGGAGCAAATTCAAAGGTGAAAAATCGCGTAAAGTAAGTGGGTGGGGGGCCTCTCCTTGGTGGAGCAGGTGGTTGGGCGCAGTGCTGTGAAGCTGTCCACAGCCTCTGCAGTGCCAGTTCGATCCCAGCCGGCTGGTGAGGGTCCCACATGGCGCGCAGACCTCTCCTGCTGCGCCCGCTGCTCCCCTCAGCAGTGTATTTCATCAGTCTGCCTGTTCTGTTCCCCACTCTGTCTCTGGTGAATCCTCTCACCCTCCCGCTCCTCGGCCTGTACCCTGGATCTTGTATAAATAAATCTTTAAAAAAAAAAAAGTGGGTGGGCGTGTCTGGGTGGCTAAAGCAGGGCTCCCACACCCACACCAGAGGCAGAAAACCCTTTACAAATCAAAGCAGTTTGATGACCCGAACATTTAACAAGGCAAAATAAGCAAATGAAAGTCAAGCCCACGAATTTTGATGACAAAGGTGACACATCGGAAAACAAAACCCCGTGGTCTCAATGACGAGGATGGCCATAAAGGCCTCCTGTCCACAACCCAGGCTGCTTCCAGTCCAAGAAAACGCTGATCCTGGAGTCTTCCGGTTAATACCGGCAGATGCAGGACAGCCCCAGCGCCTAACTTGGACACTAAGCTGCCGGGACAGCAGCTCTGGGGACATGGCATGAGCTGAGGCAAGGCTGTTCCACGGCCACATAGGGGGTCTGCTGTGAGGCTAAGCCCCGAGACGGCACACTGTCCTCACTCTCTGAACACAGAACACCACGCCCACCACCATCTCCAGGACAAAGGCTGGTGCCCAGGGCCCCACGGACAGGCTCCGGGGCCGAGCTGACCCCCACCCTCAGAGACCCTCCCTGCAGGCCCCTCCTCCCCCAGGCTGTGGCTCCTCAGTGTGGGCGCCCAGGGAAGGGGCTTCGCCACATCTGGAAACCCACAGGGGAGTGGGATGGGGAGTGAGCATGGGGCACTGAAGGCTGTCTTCAGCCCAGGACCAGCTTGGCATCGCCCCGGCTGGGGCACATCTGCACAAGGCCATGGGGTTGCAACACTCGCGTGCCAGGAATCCCCAATAGAACCATGTGGGCTGGAAACGCGAGGACAGCAGGCGATGTGGACCGCCAAGGGGGGCTGTGGGGCAGGCACTGCAGACAGCCAAGTGGGGGTCCAGGGGCAGCGGTGTAGCTGGCCAAGTGGGGCTCTGGAGCAAAAAGTATGGACGGCGGGGCCTCCTCGGTGGCGCAGCTGCCCGCAGCCTCTGCAGCGCCGGTTCCATCCCCAGCTGCTCCCCGGCCACCAGAGGGTCCCCCATGGCGCGCAGACCCCTCCCGCCGCCCGCTGCTCCCCTCAGCAGTGTCCTTCGGTCCTTCTGCCTGCTCTGCTCCCCGCTCTGGCTCTGGGGAATCCTCTCACCCTCCCGCGCTTCTGACTGTACCCAGCGCTTGTGTAAACAAAACAAATAAAAACATACCTCTATAAAAAAAGAAAAGTATGGACGGCTAAGTGGGGTTCTGGGGCTGGGGCCCACCAAAGGCAGCCTGGCCTCCCCTCAGGGCACCACCCTCCACCATCTCTGGATGCCCTCAGGGCACCTGCTCCCCCTGCGGGAGGCCTGGCAGAGGTGGGGCATCACCTACAGGCTCCCCAGGGAGGCTGGGGCCTGAGCAACATGGCACCGCTAAGCCTTCCTTTGCCCCAGCACCTGCCAACCTAGGCCCAAGGGCACCCCCACTTTAGGCAGGGGGCCTTGGCTGGTGGGGGCCCTGGAGACACCCCCCCCTCCCTCCCTCCCCCCCATGAAATGCCAGCAAAGTGCTCCACGGTGGGGGGCAGCCAGTTCCAAGAGGACGTGCTTCGGGGGAAGCTGGCTTCCCACTGGCCTCGCGACGCTGTTCCGCGAACCCCCGGGTTGAGGGCTGGGGGGCCCCTGACGTGCCCCCGAGCCCGGCGCTGCAGCTCAGGGAAGGAGGCCGAGGCCCGGGGCACAGCGCGCCGCCTCGTGAGCGAACCTCCTCCCCGGCCGCTCTCCGGCAGCCGCCGCCGCGGGGGCTGAGAGGAGTCCGGGCATGAAGGCGGGCGGGGCCTGCTCAGGAGCGCCCGACGCCGCCGCGGCCCGCGGGTGGGCGCAGCTCTGCCTCGGGGAGGGGCCTGGGCTGCCCGAGGGTCTCGGGCGGCTGGAAAGCGCCGCGTCCAGGTGGCTGAGGAGCAGCAGCAGGTCCCGAGGAGCAGCGGCCTGCGCGACCCGGGGCTGCGGCGGCTCGCCTCAGGAAGGGCCAGGCGAGCCCCGGCCGGGAGGCGCCTGGCGCCCACAACACCCCAGTCCCCTCGGGGGGCGCTCGCCGGAGGCCAGCAGCCAGCCCCAGCTGCACCCGGCCGTTCACCCCCGAAGGCCGCGCTGCGGGGGCCGGGCTGGCGGCAGCAGAGACACGCAGGGGGGCGGGCGGGGCAGCCGCTGTCTGCGTGGCCAGAGGCGGCCGGGAGAGAGCGCGGCACGGCCGCCCCCCGCGAGAGCCGCCCCGAGGCCAGCACCAGAGCCCGCCCGGCAGGACCAGGACGGCGCCCCGCGGCGGGGCCCGCACGGAGCGCGCCCCGGGACGGCCCCACGGGACCCGTCCGCGGCCTCGCGCCCCAGCCGCAGAGGCCTCCAGGCGGCGTCGAGACAGGCCCGGGCCCTCCAGACGCTCCTTCTCCGAAGCGCCGTCTGCGCCGTCGAGACAGGCCCGGGCCCTCCAGACGCTCCTGCCGTCTGCGCCGTCTGCCTCGCCTCCGCCTCTTCTTCTCAGCAGGGGCCGGCGTCGTCTCTCCTCGGTGCCCGCCGACCCCGGCTTATATCCTGTTTCAGGGGGCCCCGCCCACAAGTCTGATTGGACCATTTTTCAATCCTGTGGCTGATTGGACCATTTACCCATCAGCCCATAGCACCTGATTGGTCCATTCCACGACCCAGGAAGTGCACTTTACATAAAAGGGCTCTGAGGCGCCGCTGCCACCACTGACGCGGGGCGAGAGGCTGGGTCCTGGTAACAAAAGTCTGATTGGACCATTTAGCGCCAATCAGCTCATGGCTCGCACCTGATTGGTTCATGCCACGATCCAGGAAGTACGCTGGTACATAAAAGGTCTCTGAGGGGCACCTGCCGCCCCGGCTTGCGGGGGAGCCGCGGGGCGCCCCGGCCTCTGCCTCCGCGCAGCGCAGCCTTCCCCGGCCACGGCCGGTCCCCGCGAGCCCGCCACGCCGCGGTTCCCGAGGCCCCAGCCCCTCACGCCCGCAGCCCCGGCGCCCCGCGGCAGCCCCGCGAGCCCGCGCGCCCCCCGCCCGCGCGGCGCAGCCCCCCCAGGACGCGGCCTCGAGGGCCCCGCGGGGCGCACGCCGGGAGGGCCGGGCCGGGGAGGCGGGGCCGGTGCCCAGAGGAGCCCGGGGCGCCCCGAGACGCGGGAGACGCGGGCGCCCCCGCGAGCCCGACCTGGCCCCGGCCCCGCGCCCGCGCGGCCCGGCGAGGCCAGCGGAGGGTGTCCGGGCGCCGCCGCCACGGTGGGCGCGGAGGCTGCTTCCCGCGCGCCCCGGCGCGCTCCGGGGACCCCAGTTTTTACCCCAAATAAACACGGGAGTTTGGGTCCCTTCGCCATGACAAGACGGTTCGACCCTCCACCCATGGACAGCCCGCGCGGTCCCCGCAGGCCCGATGCCCGCAGGGGGGCCGGGGCGAGCCCCAAACCCGGGCCCACCCACGCTCCCAGGGGTGCTTGCCGGGGGAGCCTCTGCGGGGGTGGGGCAGGCGCGGGCCGCCCGGGCCCTGGCACCGGCAAAGGCGAAGGGGCCGACCCGCCACCCCCGGCCTGTGACGCAGCGATGCACGGAGACCCCCACAGCCTTCCCGAGGCCACCCCAGAGCCCGAGCCCGGCCCTCTGGACTCCAGGCGCCGCCAGCCCAGGTCGGGGCCGCGCTGGCCCCCGTCGCGAGCCCAGTGCCGTCGGGGGCCAGAGCCAGGGACGGCGTTTCCAGGCATGGACAGTGTGAACCTCCTGGAGATGGGGGGCCAGTGGGCCGGGCGGAGCGTCCTGGGAGAGACCCCAGGCCGCAGTGGGGAGGGCAGCCCCACGGGAGGGGCTCTGGTCGGGGGCAGGGCCCACCACTGGGCTCAAGTGGACACAGGCCAGGAAGGGCTGGGCCGAGCACCAGGACACCAGCACGGGGGACCAGGGCCAACGCAGGGGCTGCTTCCCGCACAACCTCCCATGGGGAAGGCGCGTCCTTGGATTCCACAACACACCCCTTCTTACCAACGTCGCAGGAAACCACGATTCCAACACCCCAAACTGGCGTGAGATGGGCGCCGATGACCCACGCACAGGCCCACCCCAAGGACGCCGTAACCACAGCCAGCTCAGGGCCCCCCTCAGGCTCAGGCAAGGACAGCAGGTGGCGAGGACGGCTGTGGCACCCTCAGGACACAGGAGGTCGGGGCGGCCTAGGGGTGGCTGGTCCCCGCTGCTGCCCGCCGCCCCCTGCCCATGGCCCACCGCCCACCTGGGCCATGGAGTCTCCCCTAATCGCCCGAGCTGGGCCGGCCCCACAGGCTGGACGGGACTCACCTCCAGAGTGCGGCGGGGGCCCACACAGCAGCACCACGCCCTGGCCCTCCCACGCCGACACAGTGCCCCGCAGGCCAGGCTTGAAGCTGTCCAGGTCTGAGAGGAAGAGAACAGAGCGGGGTTCAGGAGCTGGGGCGCACACGGCCTTGCTCGCACAGGGCGGAGCCTGATGTTCCTGCTCAGGCCTGTGGGGTGTCCCTGAAGGGACACCCCACAGGACCCCGGCTGCAGGAGGGGCCCACAGACCCGTGGGGGAGTCTTGCGCAGACTCAAACACATGCGGAGACGCGTTTATGGAACACTCGGAGGCCTGGGCGCTCCCTCCCCATCCTCTGCGCTGCCTGTGACTAGACACTGCCCAGACCTGCTGGTCAGCGGTGCTTGCTCAGCCCAGGTCAGCGTCCCCACCCCCTTCAAAGAGCAGAGCAGAGTTGGGCGGTCAAATCGCTCTTGCTCTGGCGCTTCCTGGAGACTGCACAGGCCTGAGCCATGCATGGACATCCCCCCTAGGGTCATCTTCTCCTGCTGCTCAGGCACCCACTTTAGGTGACCACCGCACCCGGGGGGAGACAGGGCCACAGAGGAGAGGCGGCCTGGCCGCCCTGACAGCCTCGGCTCAGGGCCTGCCCACCCGCCCCGCCCCACCCCCACCGCCTGTTCTCAGGCCGCCTCCCCGTGGATGGCCAGGCAGAGCCCAGCAGGCCTGCAGGGTAGGCAGGGTCCCTTCATGTCCACCACTGTCCCGTCTCCATCTCTCTGGGAAGCTCTCATCCCATGGGAGAGTCTGAGACCGCAGGTGTCCTGCGTGAAGTGGACATTTCTGTGCTCGCAGCAGAGCTGACTACACCATTCTGTGCAGCGCAGGGGTGGGGGGCCAAGGCCAAGGCTGGACTCGGGCATGACCCGTGTGTGACCCGTGTCAGGGATCCAGAGAGGACGCAAGGGGAGGCCGCAGAGAGGAGCTGCTTCCCACCTCATTGGATTGGGGGAGCAGGAATGGGACAACGGGGCTGGGCTGGAACGGGCCGAGCAAAGGATCCCAAGGCCTGAAAATGTGGAGTTTGGCCTCGAAACACCTTGTGATCAGTTGCCATCAGAGCAGTCGCTGCATGTCATGGGGCCTGGGGCTTGCCCGCCGGGGGCTGTGGGGCAGTTGTGTCCCTTCAGTTAAGACTGTTGCCCAGAGTGACAGTTACAGCGACTGTGGGAGGCAGAGGCAGGGAACAGCCCCGAGCTCGTTGCTATAGACGCCTGCGGTTTGTCGAGTTAAATCCAGGAACATGAACAAAAGAATTTCCCCACCTGACTTCTCCTGAACACTAACACCTAAAGCTTAATAGCTAATGTGAACTGAAGAAGAAAATAAATCTTTAATTTCCAAAAAAGCTTTTTCTTCATAGACTTCCACCTCCTATATATTTTCATACACAAACTGCCTCAAAACTACACATTTTTTCATCCAGGTGGCAATACTCTGAATTATTTTCCTCTTCTTTAAAACAAAGATCTCTAGGTAGACCAGAAGTTTGAGATAGATCAGAAAATCTGTGTGAAAACCAATATTTGAAAGTCAACTTCATTTGAATAGGGTGGTTGAGAGAGATAATGTTCTTATTTTAAAAAAATCAAGGGCCTTGTCTGGCGACCCGGGGAGGCCTGGGCGGCAGGGCGGGGCGGAGGCCTGAGGGGGGAGGGGCCTGGCCCTACAGCCAGCAGGGCCCGTGCCCCCGGGAAGCAGAGGGTCACCGGGGACAGCACTGTGAAGCGGGGATACCACTGCACGGCTCAGCCGTTCTCGACAGTGTGACCAGGTCAGCTAAGGGATCGACCACCAGGGGGCAGCAAGGACAGCTCAGGTGGCGGCCGGCAGGAGCCCAGGCTTCCACAGCCTGAGAGTCCCAAGAACTTTCTGTGCCATCACCCAGTCCACCCGCTGGTGAGCCAGGCCCTGCCACCGGCCTGGAGGCACCCCCAGGACAACACCCTGGGTGCTGACCGGAGAAGAGAGGCCCCACACAAGCCCCAGCCTCAGATGCTCTGCCTTCTAGCCGGGAGGGGGCATGCGTCCGCCTCAGGGCCAAGGCTGGGGTCCCCACATCCAAGACAGGCTGCAGGCGGCCTGGGGGTCCCTTCCACGAGTTATAAAACGTGCCCTACAGACAGGCTGTAACCTGCTCATGGAAGAATTTATGTCCATATTATGAAAATACCACATTTTATAAAATTCTATTATAAAATCATAGTCTAGCGGCTTGTGACCAATGTTATTTTAACATTGTTAAATCAAGTATTTCACAGGATCTTATAATCAAGAAGACTGTATAATTGCCTCTTGTGGGAGAAAAATGTAAGAGAAATTAAAAATTATTTTCACTGTTTGCAAGAGTTTGCTGCACTCCAGAAGGACAACAATTTTCAGAAACTTATTGAAGCCGGAAGTTCACGGTCTTAACCCAGCAACCTCAGCCAGCGGCTGGTCCCTGTCCCTGGTCCTCACCTGGGCCCCGAGGGCTCCCCTGGGCCCTGCACTCAGACTCCACAACGGGGACAGAGCAGCCCGGTCACCTGCTATGAGACAGGCCCTGGCACCCGCCGAAACCCCCATCCTGTTGAAAACACTGTGTTTGTGGCCCTGCTGGCAGCTGTCGAGGGAAGGGCCTCCTTCCTCACACACTGACCGCCTGTGACCCAAAGATTAAATGACAAATGGACTCAGGACCAGGGGCCACTGAGCACCAGGGGGCGGCGCATGAGTGACATGACCTGGCCGCGCCAGGTCTCACTGCTCGGCATGGAGAGACCACAGACACCCCCATCCCATGACCCCAGGACACTGGACACCACCAGACAGGGTCCCAGTGGGGCCCCAGGGGCATGGCCCCTGTTGCTACAGCCTCAGGTCCCCTCGGACGGCCAAGGACAGGGCCACGCAGCCAGAGGACAGGATGCAGCAAGGCCCGAGGGAAAGGACGGCACCGTCCCGCCCCTGGAGCTCGTCTGGCACAGCCACGGCCCACAGGGTGAGCCAACCCTGGGCTAGGCCAGGGCACTGCGCAGGCACTGGCCCGGGTGGCTCAGGGCGCCAGTGACGGCGCATCTCACACGCATGCCCAGAGCTGTTAGCTCCCCACAGGAAACATGCGAACCGGGACCCCACACCTGAGGGGCAGCGGGACAGTGGACAGTCCCGCCCAACTCCGCATGACCAATGGCCCACAGGGGCATCCTGACACGCCACTTACTCTGGCCACAGTGGGAGGTCACCCTGCCTCTGGCAGACACAGCCAGATGTGCTGGCCACGGCCACCTACTGAGAGGTGACCACCCGGTGCGAAGGTTTCCATGGGGGCTTGTCAACCGACTCCCTGGAAGCAGAGGTCCTGGGATGACTATCCTGCAATCTTCACAGCTACTTACAAGTTACATTTTCATGATGAAATATTCCATCTCCACAGAAACAGATAAAATGCACAGACTGATGATTTACTGAAACTTGTTGACTTGCATAGAATTTCAGTTTCGGGATCACAGTGTGATGTGTTGAGTAGTGTCGTGTTTGACTAAAAGTTTTTTTTTTTAAGATTTATTTATTTATGCATATAAGAACTGGGGTACAGGCCAGAAGCTCAGGATTGAGAGAATTCACCAGAGACAGAGCAGGGAACAGAACAGGCAGATGGACCAAAATACACTGCTGAGGGGAGCAGTGAGCGAGACAGGAGAGGTCTGCCGCGCCATGTGGGACTCTTGCCGGCCGGCCGGGATCAAACTGGCGCTGTAGAGGCTGCGGACAGCTTCACAGTGCTGCACTCAACCGCCTGCACCACCAGGGGAGGCTCTGACTAAAAAGTTTTGTTCAGTTTTATTATTCACACAACGTGAATGGTCTGAGGGTGAAGTGACAGCCTTTTGTTTAAATTGGACTTGTTTCAGATCAGAGAAAAGGGCTTTGAACTTCATCAAAGTTATTATGCCCAACGATGGAACTGGTGTTTCAGCCGCGTTGCTTAGTTACCGGAGGCGGCATGTCCCGTAGCTCAGGCCAGCCAGGCTCCCGCTAATCAGAGCTTCACGACTCCGGCAAATTGGTCTTCGGTGTTTCTTCCCCCTCACCTGGGCGCGGCGTCCAGGCTCCCTGGGTGTGTTTGATCTTTCTCCAGACTCACTGCCCGGGTCTCAGGAAGCGTGTGAAGATTCTAATCTCGGAAGAGGGAGTGATGTGCCGGCCCCACGCCCGCCACAGGGAGGCCCTCTGGACGCGACAGTTTCATCCTTACCCCAAGGACCCCAAGGACAGCAGGGGCGGGAGGACAGTGGAGGAGACGTGGCCCAGACGTGTGTATGTATTTGAGGGAACGAGGCAGCAGGACCCACAGCCCTTGCTTCCTCCCAGCGCATCTCCCTCAACACCCGGCGAGAGGTCACTGCTGGGGACCCCCGGCCCCATCCAGGCCACACTCAGACTTGTCAGATGCAGGAAAGCCTGGCCCAGGGGCAGCTGCCACAGGGACAGTCTCTGTCAGTGACGAAATGAAACATTTCGTGGAAGGATGGACTCTGGGTTATGGTGGAAGTGACTCGCTCTGGTGACGCTTGTGTTTCTCACTCATTATTTCCTGTGTGGGGCGGACCCTGAAGCAGCGTCTGCTGGGTTCCTGGCCCTCGGCTCAAGGCACTGGTTGCTCGCCGGGGGTGGGTTGGGGAACAGAATAAACCAGCACCAAGTCAGGGGAGTCTCAGGCTATGCAGGAAGTAGAGCGTGTTGGTCTCACGTGTGGATTCGGGAGAGACGTGGAGGCAGCATCTGGGCGAGGCGGGTGACTAGGAGCCATCAGATGTCTCAGCACCTTGGGGTGGGGTTGCAGCAGGTGGCAGGTGAGAAGGTTGGCTGGGGCTGGAGGGGACCCCAAGGAAGGGCCGAGAGGGCCAAAGTCCATGAATGAGGTTCTTCCTTGGAGGTTTTGAGCAGGGGAACTTGATTGGATGAGCAGGAAACTGAAGGCTGAAGCTGTTTGTTGGTGAGAACAGAAAATGGTGGGCAGTCGGGGGCTGGGAGCAGAAAGAGCTCAGAAGCGGAAGTCAGCAGCTGGAAGGCT